ACCCCCTCACCCCCCTTATATCTCATTCCACACTCAACCAAAAAATGTTGGGTAAGCTCAGGCAGGTATATATACACTAGAATAGACCCTCTGCCAAGTCAGAATGGGAATATCTGCTGTGGTTGAAGAGAGGGAGAGAAAACGGGTCCTGTAGGCCATGGGAAAGAAACAGTGTCCACTAGATCTCTCATGATGCTCACAACGGACTGCAGCGGAATGGCTTGGGGTATCATTAATATGCTGTCTACAGTACAATACACCAGCCCGATAGAGTAAATAACGAGCGTGTCGAGATAGAGAGGCAACTTTGCACATCTCCCGGGCCCATATCGTGACAAAAGCGTGACATCGCTCGCGGCGAGATCCCACTGTGACCGCATGTGACACCTTTTTGCAGAACCCCCTACATGAACCGGCATCTCTCTCCTACGTTCCACAGGCTGCATAAAAATGCACAAAAATAATGGGGACGTTCATTACTAAGTTACACACAATATGCGGAAGATCCGATAAGAATCTGTCAAGTGTGCGGAATGCTACAGGCCGGATTCGATACTTTTTGCAGAACCCCCTCGATGATAGTAGTACAATAAGAAACTGAACATCGCGTTTCCCCGCGCGTTGTTTGCTCGCGCCAAATATACCCTTTTCGGGTAGGTCCGGAAGGCCTCTCGCGGGACCGTTTGTTGGGCAGGGACTCGCAGACGCCCCGAGACGGCTCGAAAGGCTTCAGAGAATGCATGAAATGTATATTCTACTACTACACTAAGGGCTGTAAATCATTATACTCTGCCCCCACCTGTATGCCTAGCTACCCTCCCTCTCGATGGGTCTTTGTCGCACATTTGCCGATACCCGAAAAGGGTATATTTGGCGCGGACAAACAACGCGCGCGGAAATGCGATGTTCAGTTTCTTATGCAAGGCACTGTAACATCCAGAAGCCCACAAGTAAGTGATCGACGTCGATGATCTATTTATATCAGTTGTGTGGTCTTTCGCAGTACCATTAGCCTGCTGCTTCAGGATTGTTATACTTCGTCTCTTGGACCGCGGACTCATTCATGGCGATAATCTACCTCAAACTTGCTACAAGACACTGGTACATCGAATCGACGTGAGCTCAGAGGAGCCGCCAGCTTTTCCGAAAAGGACATCCTCGAAAATACTACTCTGATGGGAATCCTCGCCACGGAGCTTATTGTGCTCGAGACAACTACATAAATCAAGCAATTCGTCGTAATGGCACGAGCGAGGATTTGCAACTCTTGATTTACAGTGAGGCTGGTGACTTTGGTATCTCGCCGGCAGCTCGTCTTCTCAACGTACTCTTCCCGTGGTTTGTCGCACCCAGGCATTTCCAATACCGTACCGGTGACTATGGTGTACTATCAATATCTCTTAGGAGAGAATTCGTCGCTACTCGCGATGAACGTGTCTGGCAGCCCCTAACCTATCAATGATATCAACTTGGAAGTACACACTGCCCCTCAGCGGTCTCAGCAAACTCTGCGGTGATCTAGTAATGGCCGCTACACTGGCAGACCCCAGTAATGTCTGATTAATCGGTTGTGCAAGGGAGGCAGGACCAACCGCAACCGCCCCACAGGTGTGCCATCGTTTCGCCCTAATCCAAGAACAGGGCTGCAGGTGCCGGGTCCATATTACAGCGTCGAATAGTGATCAAATGTTCCTCGCAGAAGATCCCTTGGCTAGCAAACGGCTTGGGCTCTGGCCTAACGCCGACAAAAGATACAGCCCTTTCTATTCTTGTGGCAGCACGTGTGCGCGCCGCAGCTAATCAGATCGCAGCAATCTTGGTCGTGCGCCACTCCCCAAACGCACGTTCACCGTGCACACGAGCGGTTTCGAGCACACAGCACTCGGCCGACCAATGGCCTGTTCCGATACGATGCCTGGGTATTAGCACCGCGGGAGGGGCGCCCTGGGAACATTGATTTATGACCCTTGTCCTCGGTCGCTCGCACCTCGTTTCAATTGCGCGCCCACTTCCTAACATTTGCATAGCATTCCCCAGGAGCACACGACGCGATGGACAAAGGCCCCCAGCTCCTCCCTGCATACACTGGCAGCTGTAACCCGCCGAGACGCGCTAAACGTCTCCGCACGGACTCGCTCAGCCAACCCGCGGCATCGTCGAGCGCCTCAGCGCAGCAACACAAGATTCTGCCCAAACCATCAGCGTCGGTCGACCTCGATAGTGACGCAGGCGAGTCGGACAGTACGACGCCGCCGCCACCGCCCAGGCGCCGCGGCAGGAAGCCCGGGGTGTTATCGCGCTCTGCGCGGGAGTCGTTGCGCAAGGAGAACCATTCGCGGATCGAGAAGGCGCGCCGAACCAAGATCAACGATGCCCTAGCAACTTTGCGGGAGCTCGTGCCCGCTACGTACCCAAGGGAAGTAGAGGAGGGGAAGGTTAAGACGAAAAGGGACGAGAAGCAGAAGGAGTTCAAGCTCGAGGTGCTCGTGCGGACGGTCGCGTACATGCAGGATTTGATTGCGAAGGTGAAGATTTTCGAAGACGGACAATGTCCGAGCTGCGGTGGCGACAGGAAGGCTCCTGCGGCGGCCGTTGATACAGGTGCTAAGAGGAAGAGGCCGGTCGAGGACGAAGAGCCCTATGAGCCGGAGACCGAAGAGGACGAACTGCACTCGGACGGGGAGGGCGAAGAACCCGCCGCAAGTCGCCCCAAACCTCAGGCGAAGCAGAGAGTCGAGAACAAGCCCCAAGGCACCAGCCCGGAGCCCATCTCCGCCACGCCCACCATGCTCCCCTCCATCTCCTCCTGGTTGCCCAAGCCATACATGGACCCCAGCTACATCGCCCTCTCGACCTCGACCTCGACCTCTCCTCAGATCCACCCGCACGTCCCCGCGCTGCAACTCCCCTCCCCGCCCTCATCAACGCAGTTCCGCCCTACGGCTAGTACGCAACTCCCTCCCTCCCTCGCTTTACCATCGCCGCACGCGACTCCCCTGCTGACCTCGGCTTTTTCGCCTCCTCCGAGGAGGCGCGCAGAGAGCCTGTCGCTTCCGCAGGCATGGACGGTGGACGACGAGAGCGCAGCATCGATGTTGCTGCGAATTAGCTCCAGCTCGTCGTCATCGAGTGACGATGCGAGTGCGTCTCCGTCCTTGCGATCAAGGGCGGTTGAGCCGCAGACGCCGGCGTCATTGCTCGGGCTGGGCGGGAGGAGGTAGGGATTCAAGATGGGCAAGGTGTATCACACGAGCAGAAAGCTTTCATGCCTTTCTATTATGTATTATCGATGGAACACGACGGAAAGGGAGGGGAGAAGGTGTAAGTGAAATGCGGGGTCGGATATGTCATTTCGTCTCCGGGGATGCGTCCTGTAGATACATATTGTAGCGCGCACATGTGGCAGTTCGGTCGTCCGGGTCCTTAGATACTTTATTCGTTACTGTCATGTTGTATTCCCGGCAAAAATGCGGAGATCCTTTATGACCTCAGCGGTCTCAAATGCTAAACATCCAATGTTGGTCCACATATCCAGTCAAGGTCCAGCTCCGATGAGCGTCCCAGGCGCTCTAGTATGAACCATCGGGGCGCCTATAGTACTCGTGCGCCTGAAAGTCTTAAGCCTGGCTCAGATAAGGAAGGTTACTGAAGTAGTACTTGGACGTTGCGTGCAGACCGCTATTGTCGTGCTTCTAGCGAAGGTCTGCCACTAGTAATGATATGTACTACATACCACGGGTGCAGCCTTAGCCTGAGGTGCTCTTGCATGGACGCCGGCTCCCGACTCTCCCCGATGCAAGCGGCCAGCGATTGGCCTGCCTCCGAGTCGACGTGAGCGCGCAAGCTTAAGACTGGAATGAAGGAGGTGGAGCTCTGATGTTGCTGATCAAAGCTGGTATCATGGTACCAGATACATTGAGGTACAGTTTGACTCGTGGAATGGGTTTATCGCGTTGACGAAGTTCTGAATATCTTGTGTTCCTAGATAACGGCTGGAAGAAACGTAAACTAACCTTCCCAAGATCTCACTTCTCTTCTTGAATAGGTAAGGTCTGCTCCATATGACAGAGAGATAGAGCCTGAACTGCCTATCTGACCGCGTACAGTATTATCTACCTGCTACTGCTAGCTGAAAGCTGCAAGATAGAGATAGGATGTTCCTGATGCCGATATGCCCATCCTCGCCTCGGCTTCGCAGTAAATCTCGTCCGCGGCCCCAAGTATAAGAAGTAGGAGGAAGATGTGCTCGTCGACTCGGTCCCGATAACCCTCCTGGATATCCCGGGCTCACTCGGTTCTGGTCCCACCTCGAGTCGTTCAATACGCTCCGCCATGTCGGTCAAGGATGATATCGACGAGAAGGCCTCGTACGGCGAGAAGGGCGACCTCGAGAAGACGGTCGTCGAGACTCTCCCAGTCGAAGAAAGCGATACCGGTAGGCGTTGCTTCTTACTCTTCATTCACGCCAGTGCTTATCGCCGTGAAGTCCTCGCCGAAAGTGACTATACCGAGGAACAGTACAACAAGTTGAAGCGCAAGATCGACCTGTACCTGCTTCCCCTGATGTGGATCTGCTATGGCGTCCAGCAGGCCGATAAGACGTCCATTGGTACCCAGGCCACGTTTGGCTTGCGGGAGGACACCCACCTTGTCGGCCAACAGTATTCCTGGCTGACAACGATCTTCTGTGAGTGACTGAGGCGCCCCCAATGGCGTGTCTGGTCTGATGTGTTACAGACATCACGTATATGTGTTTTGAATTCCCGTCCAACCTGATTTTGCAGCGGTGGAAGATGGGAAGGACGCTCTCCATCTACATGATTGTGTGGGGCGTAGTGGTCCTCTGCATCGGCTTCGGTAGGCTGCCTCGTAATTTCCTAAAGGACGGGTGTACGACCCTTACTCTGTATCCTCTCAGCCAAGAACTTTAAGCACTTAATCGCACTCAGAGCTCTGCAGGGCTTGGCCGAATGCTGCATTAGTCCAGGGTTCATCCTCGTCGTGGGCAGTTGGTACAAGACCCGCGAGCACGCCTCTCGCGCCCTCGTCTTTCAGAGCGCTAACGCAGGCTTTGGTATCATCGCCGAGCTCGTATTGTACGGCATTGGTAAGACAGGGGCAACGCACCCGGACGAGCAGCCGTGGCGTTACATGTCCTTCGTCAGTAACCATCCCTGACATGTTCATCGACTTCCGCGGCTCATTGGTATATTGAACCTATAGTTCCTGGGCAGCTTGACCATCGTCGTCGGCATCCTATGTTTGTTCTTGCTTGGAACGCCATCGGAGGTGAGGTGGTTAACGCCTGAAGAGCGGAGGATGGCCAACGCTCGGATTGTCGGCAACAATACCGGACATGATACGACCGGTATCAAGAACTGGAAGTGGAAGCAGGCCTTAGAGTGCCTAACGGACCCCTGCGTGCGTGATGAAATTAACTATAGAGATACCGCTGACCTATAACTGTATTCACGGTCTACAGTTCTGGTTCGCAGGCGTTAACGCATTCCTAAGCTCCGTGCCTAATGGTGGCCTGACGACGTTTGGATCAATCATCAACACTACCTTTGGCTTCAGTAAGTCATCGGATCTGCAAACCCCACTCTGAAGCTCACACCACTCTCGTCATAGCGAATCTGCAGGTCATATTACTTGATATACCGCGATCCCTGTTCTCCGTGGTGTATTTCATACTTATTGGCCTCGTGACCACGCGCTGGAAGAATCTACGCCTGTTAGTCGCCCTGTTCCTGTCCACTATCCGGAAGCCGTCTGACGTACAGGTTACATGCAGGTATTTTATGGCATTCTCCACAATACCCCCGTTCGTGGGCTTCCTGGGCATGTCCTTCCTGCCCAATGAACACCAGTACAAGTGGACAAAGTGGGGTAAGCGCATCGTTCGTCCTACATCGTGATGCCGTATCCTCATCCCACTATCGCGACCCAGGTTGTTACTTCATGACCGTCCCCTTCGTAATCTCCCTGTTCCTGGCGTGGACACTCATCCCGTCTAACACGGCGGGCAGGACGAAGCGCACGCTCACCTCCTCGTTCACCTTCGTCGGGTACTGCGTGGGCAACATGGTCGGCTCGCAGATCTTCCGCGCCAAAGACGCCGTACGTCCCTTCCACGCTGCATTGCTCTGAATCGACGTAACTAACCACTCATCATATAGCCCAAGTACACCAGCGGCACGGTCGTGTGCGCTGTGTGCTTCGGCCTGGAGTTCCTGTTGCTGTGTATGTGGAGGGTGATCTACGTCATGCGCAACCGGCGCAGGGATCGGGCGATGGCTGGCGACGGGCTCTCAGAGGAGCAGCGGATCCGCTTGGGGAAAGAGCTCGGCGAGAAGGACGCGACTGACTTCGAGAACCCTTATGTGCGTATATCCTGTACAAGCATATATCCTCGTAGCCACTGACGTGTTGTTTTGCTTCCCAGTTCCGATATACGATGTAACAATGCTAGTTCATATACCACGACTTTCCAATACTCTAAATCTCTGGTGCTTGTATTGTAGTGTAACTTCAGTTGTAGATGTTGCGTTGTACCATATTATCCCACTACTGCGGTCTGCTACCAAGGCAACCGAAGACTAGACAACATGATCATGTATTGAGAGCGATGTAACTACACGCCCAGTCTAAAAAAGGGTTTCGGCAAGGTCAGACCCCAGACCCCACCAGGCCCTACGCGTGACATCGACTCGATATAAAAACCGAGGATCAACTTGGCCTCTACTTGACTCGTATGTCGAGTCAAGGTCGGAGTCGGGCATCAAGCTGACATCCGGGCTGGACAACGAGAAAGCGGGTTTTCTGGCCAGCGGGCTTTCACATTTCATACAGCTGCTTGATTTTATTGCTCCTTGAATATGAATGAGAAAATGAAGCATATATTGCAATGCTATCTACAGACACTGTGTATATACAGTACATATAATCTTGTAAATACCAAACTACCTGTCGCAGTCACACCTATCAGAGCCCGCCTGCCACAATGAAACAGCACATTCTGCACATGATCATGAGCATAGACCATGATGATATTACAATACACGTACCCGATTCACCCTGACCCCAGACGCACTCCACCGACCAAAGCTCAATATTTGAGTGAATAAGATATCCTTCCGAGTGTTCCTGTATGAATGTGAGTGACGTGTCGGGGAAAGTTTGTCATCACTTACCAGTTAGCAATGAATGTCGGACGTCGTAGCCAGAGCTCTGTCACGCAGGCAGTCCACTGTCTCGTGGTGCGGCGGACGGGCGAGTCAGCGACAAGGAGCGGGAGATCGGAGCGAGAATGAGAGTGAAAGACGGAGTTGAAGAAGTGGAACGACTTGAACCACGGGTGAAGTCGCTCGAGTTCAATCTCCGCTTGAATTCAGTTCGCGTCAGACACGTCCTGTCCTTGAATTTCTCTAAGTCCCACAAACAGATAGTGGGGACTTGTGTAGCACTCCTTACGCCGTAGTACTACATCTGTTCTGGTTGCTCTAATCAATATTATTAATACCTAAAATACTTCGAGGCCTCAAGTCATCCTGTAGTCCAAAGTACAGCCTTTATATGCAGCGCAAGGTATCATCTCTACCTGAGGTTACGAGCTAATGTCCAGTAAAGCCCAAAGAGGATGTCAACTCGGTATCAGGGCGGTCTTGCTCAGATGTCCCTCGCTAAGTCTCAAGAAGACGCCGCTCTGACCTCAGCGCTGACATCTCAAATGATGGCGCACACATCTCTGGGCAGAAATGCCGAAACAAGGTCACGTCGGGGTCTACCGGGCCTTCCGAAGCAAGGTCGACGCGAGACCTCGGCTGCGACCTCACGAGAACCTTAC